TCCAAGAACACCAAAACATTAGGGTTCATATAACGAACCTTAACCCTAAACCCTAAACCCTTTCTTAATCAGGTGCCAATGTAACCAGGCCCGGGGGTCCGCACCTTAATGAGAAGCTTTGCCATCTCTAGTTGGCCCTCTCGGGCGGCATAGTGCCTGAGGAGTTGTTCAACGGTTTTAGGGTTTAGGGTTTAAGGAGACAAGGGCCCCTGATCTCTGAACAGGAAGACCCTTATCACACGGACCCTAATATACAGACTCTAAGCAGAAAGATCCTTCATGTGAATACCGAATACTGATAATCGTAGTAGTCGTCGTAGCAGTCGTCGTCGTACAAGAACAGCTATTCGTCTTTGTATTCCTATTGCTACTATTGCGACTACGACTATGCTATCGCTTGCGCTTACGCCTCCGTTTACGAATACGATTGCTATTGCTATCGCCTTCACTGTTACTCGCAGTTCTCCTACCACGATTACTTTTGTCATTGCTACTTCAAAATTCCTGTCCCTACTCTGATTAGTCTTACCTTATTTGTTCCTATCCCGGTTCCAATTGCTCTTCCTATTTAAGCCCATTGCTGTTGACTATCAGCTCTTACGATTTCCGTGACTCTGACAACGAAGTATGACTTTGATTCGGACTATTTTTGAAAGACAGTAGTTTCATGGAGGAATGCGCAAAAGTAGGCACGGATTTACGAGTTGTACTGCTCTTGCTGTTGATGCTGCGGTGAGTTTCTGGTCCACAAGAACTGGTAGCTGTTGGTAGTACCCGAAACCTCTACGCCCCTGATCCCGAAACCCTTAAACCACTAAAGCCTAACAGCTGTGGGGCCTACTTGCAGCTCTCTGCATGTCGCCGACACCCCAAACCACAAGGGCTCCCAGCCAGAAACATGTTGGATCCATCAACCTTCGGGTTTAGGGTTTAGGGTAGGGTTTAGGGTTTAGGATTTAGGGTTTAGGGTTTAGGGTTTAGGGTTTAGGGTTTAGGGATCCATCAACCTTCCTATGAGGGTTCCAGAGAGGTTCTGTCGCAGTTCTTTCAGGGTGTTAACGATTCGGTTTCTATGAAGGCTCTAGAAGGATCCTGCAACGGTTCCATAAGGGTTCTACAAGAGTCTGCAGTCTGGAGACACTGCCACCAAGAGCGAACACAACGGTTGCGCCATGAAGGCAGGTTTATAGTGCAGAGTTGAGCAACACCACTGGGTTTGATGTACCGGCCTCAAGAATTACAGCAGTGTGTCGAGGTACCTCCCCGAAATGTCCTGACAAAGGTGGGATAGTTATAAAGTGGGCTTTTGAAGTACGGTAGCCATAATCATGAACCATAGTAAGGGACTTACATCCCCACATATGACCACCCATGAACCTCCAAGTGCTGTATAAGGCCCAAGGCGCAAAGGAGTCATTTGCTCGCTGTTCGCTTTGCGCACATCGGCCTTCATCTGGATGAGGATTTCCAGAACCTTCACAGCACGTACCGGTGAAGAGAGGTTTAGGATTTAGAGGTTCAGGGTTTAGGGGCTTACGGTCGAGGGTTGAGGGTCTGACTCGAAATGGGGAATCAGGTCTCATGCTGTCAGGATTTGGTGGTCGGCTGTTCAGTGTTTAGGCTTCGCCAGTGAGGCATTACACCCTGTTCGCGTTGTTGGATGTCAACTTTCCTTTTCTGTCTGGTGCTTAGTAGGGAATGGGGGAATGGATCCCCATGATATTCCCTTTGGGTCCCTTCTTGTAGTCCCTATTACCCATTCCCCCATTCCCTACTAAGCACCAGACAGTTTTGATCGATGGCAGGTCCCGCAGGACAGCTGCCCGGGGTCTCTACCGCAGCTCCGGCGCTTTGAAGACTTGAAAGGAACAAGCCGGAATACCCCCAAAAAGCTCCGGAGAGTCCCAAGCCCTGCAAAGAACAACTGTCCCCAGATGCCTCCTTTCCCCACTTAAAGGATCATGGAACTTAGTAAGTAGGGTTATAATTAGGGTAACGATACTTATAACCCCAATTAGGGGACTTATAACCTTACTTACTAAGTCCCATGATCCTTTAAGCAGATGAACCCTAAACCCTAAACCCTAAACCCCTAAACCCCAACCCCTAAACCCCTAAACCCTAACCCCTAAACCCCTAAACCCTAGACCCAAACCCCCTAAACCCTAAACCCTAAACCCCTAAACCCCTAAACCCTAAACCGGCCCACCGAATCTTCCCAACTCGGGAGCTTCAGATAACAAAGGGGCCGTCTTATGGACCTTCTCCTCAGGATCCTCGTTCGACCCGCAGAAGCTTCAGAAAATAGGGCACCCTAATATTTTAGGGTTTAGGGTATAGGGTTTAAGGTTTAGGGTTTAGGGTTTATAGTACCCTAAATAGTAGGGCCATAATTAAATAAGGACCCCCCAAAATAAGGCACCCCTAATTCCAAGAAACCCCTGTCTTCTCTGCTGGCTCTGTGTTTACTCTGAGAACCTCCCCGAAGATTTTGTGGAAGCACCTGGCTTTTGAGCTAGTTGGGGGTTCCCACAAATAGGGGGACCCGAATATAGCACCCCAAATAGTAGGATCCCTATTATAAGGACCCCAAAATAAGGTACCCCCCTATTTTCGGAAACCCACAGTTGACACTGGCGAGTGGACTGTAACGCTTTCGCACGGGGGTTCAGGAACTTGCTGTGTAGGGTTTGGTCAAGCCCAGTTAGGAATATGGGAGTTTCCAGAAATCAGGGGTACCTTGTTTTGAGGGTCCTTCTTCTAATGGTCCTACTATTTAAGATGCTATATTAGGGTCCCCTATTTTCTGAAACTCCCATATTGTGGCTGCCTCCGTATGGTCGTTCTGGACGGCCGCAGAAACTGCGGTGGCTCCGTGCTTGGGAGTTGAATTTAAGCAAGCACTGCTGCTGTGGAGGCGGCGAACGACGCCGGCATGGCCTTCCAGCACAAGCACGACTGTGTTGACTTGTCATATCTTGTCATCAACAGTTGTACGCTAGCGGCATCAATCGGGGGAAACGCCGATGCGGCAGCAGCAACACAACGCAGCAATCGTGACTATAGTTTAAAGTGGCAGGACTTCGTGTGCCGTCGTCGCGTTCAACCTCGGAAAAAAACTAGCAGCTGCAGTACTCCTACTCGTAGCAGGTGGCCCTGAGACCTTTACGAACCGCAAAGCCCCCGCGCAACTTCCGGCCTTTCAATGATGCGATGTAGAGGGGCGTCGCGCCGCTCTTCAGCGGCTTGTTTGCGTCTGCGGGACCTCAACGTCTACCGAAAGACCCTAAACACTAAACCCAAAACCCTAAAACCTAACTCCCAATACCCTAAACCCCGAAACCCTGAACCCTAAACCTAGAGCTTTGAGAGCCTCCCGGAAACCCTCGTGACCTGCACCTTAGAATCCAGCATCCCTCATTAGTTAACAGCTATGCTTCCCTTCGAGGTGCCTTGCGATGTACTTTTCCATAACATGGATGCTATGAGGAGCCTTTCGCTAAGGGATATCGGAATGAAATGCCAGCATGCCATTAAATCTAAAAGCTTAAGCTTGAAGTTCGATACTTTACATTCTACACGCCCAACCGTCTATCTTTCTAAGCCCGAACTCGTTCAAACCGTAAGCAGAAAACTCTACTCCCTGTATCCTAAACCCTGCATATTTACCTCTAAACCCCAAACTTTAAATGCCCGAAATCACAGGCTACCCAAGCCATTTTTGGCTCGGGGTCAGTGCTTTAAGCATTGTTGGATGCACTCGGTCCTCACAATAACCGTCTCGCTTCTTTCCCTACAGGTGCGTCCCCGTGGCAACTCGTGAAATGTCGGCCCAAATTGCATCAGAGCTCTGGCAATTTGGGATCCAATAATTCTATCCTCGCCTATTCATGAAGCCTATCAACCTCGGATCATCCCCTGTGCCGCCTGGCTGATGCAACAGCTAAACCCTAAACCCTAAACCGTCTAAGCCAATGAGGCACTACAAACTGCCCTTCGGATCGTTTCGACTGCTGCGCTGGGTTCTGTGGGCAGCAGTGAGCAATTGCGGCTGGGTCCGTTGCTACTTGGAGGCCCAGGGGACTTAGTAAGTAGGTTATAAGTGGAGTTATAAGTACCCTAACTGGAGTTACGGAGTTACCCCAATTATAACCCTACTTATAACCGACTTACTAAGTCTCCTGGGCCTCCAAGTAGGCTTCATAAATAGGCTAGGAGACAAGTACTGGATTCCACATTGCCAGAGCTCTGATGCAATCTGGGTCGACACTTGACGATGTGTCACGGGGACACGCCGCACCGGGGGGGGGGGGAAGAAGCGAGACGTTTGGGTAGCTTTCTAAATTAGGGTCCCTTTTTAGGTCCCCAATATAGTACGGCACCCTTATAAAAAGGACCCCAAAAGGGAACCTAATTTAGAGAACTACCCATTTAATTGCGAGAACCGAATGGCACCATCCCCAAGCAAAACCCGCGAGCCAGCACCTTAAAACTCTTAAAGTTCTGACCCCTAAACCCCTAAACCCCTAATCCCCTAAACCCTAAACCCCTAAACCCCTAACTCCTAAACCCCTAACCCCTAAACCCCTAAACCCCAAAACCCCTAAACCCACCTTAAAACTCCCTAAAGCTCTGACCCCGAGCCAGAAACAATGGCTTGAGTAGCCTTTGACGAAACGCTACATCCTGAAGGCCCCTTAAAGGGGACCCTATCATAAAACACCCCATAGTAGGGTTGGGGTTTAGGTTTAGGGTTTAGGGGACCCTATCATAAAACCCCCATAGTAGGGTTTTGGCTCAAAGAACCCCCTTAGGATTCCCGGTAGCATCCTTTAAAAGGCCCTCAATGGGAGATAGGATTAGGGGGACTTTTGGGGATATAGACCCTCTCAATAAGGTCCCATGTTAAGAGAGCCAAAAGTAGGGTTCAGAAGGGGTACCCTTTAAGGGGCACCCCTAATAATACTACCTACTCAAGGCCCTGAATTGTTGGAGGAAACCTGGGCCGCTCAAGAGGAGCTCGACGATGACGTCGTGGCCTTTCTGAGAGGCGATGAAGAGGGGCGTGGCCTCGGTGACTTCTGCGGTTCTTGCAGTTTTCTAGGTTTTTTTTTGCTTTGTGGTTTAGGGATATTTCTTTGTGGTGGCTTTCTCGGATGGTTTATTGTGGGATGTTGGGTTTAGGCTGGATTTGTTTTGGGGCTTTCGCGTTTTTGTGTGAAGGCCTAGGGTTTAGTTTAGGGTTTAGGGTTTAGGGTTATCATCTTTTGACCTTGTTATACCAAGCAGCTACGAAGAAGGACTTTTGTGAAAACCCTATGTAACTTTCGACCCTCAGAATGCCTTTGTTAACCTTATGAGCATGCTTCTAAAGCCCCTTACGAAAACGAAAAGCCCGGTCGGCGTTCAAAGAGATTAGGAATGTGTTTACAGGTGTTTGGGGTTTGGGAACCGCTGCGTGAGGGGCAATCTTGCTGGTTTTTAGCAGGGAATGATGACATGGATCCCTGTGATAGTCGCTTGAGGTTCCTGATAGTAATCCCTATCCCTATAATCCATCCGACGCATTCCCTGCAAAGAACCACGGAGTAGTGGGTCGCCTCAGGCAACATGGAAAGATGTAAGGGAGCTCAAAGTGACAGGGAACGCTGAGTTTCTTCACCCTCACGAACCATCTTCTTCTTCCCCTCAACGCTGAGGCGATAACTCAACCAGTCGGGCTAGCAATGGAGGCTGATACCCGACTTCAGGGCTTTCCACAACACACAGGGTGCCACCCTAAACCCTAAACCGCCCTAAACCTTAAACCCTAAACCCTAAACCGAAAGAAGCGAAGGATCCCAAAGGCGATTTCGAGCGCCGAGCGACCTGGTTGCTGTTGGCTTGGTCTCTGTCCGGCTTGCGAGGCGACTCGCCAAGCAAGTATCCTGGGCTTTTGCTCGGGAATTTTAGGGTTTAGGGCTTAGGGTTTTTTGCTTAGTTCGCTGAAGCTACCATAATAGGGATCTATAGAAAATTATAAATCATGATCGTAGCTTAAATTAAGTCCCTCAATTCACTTGTAACAAGAGCCCAGTATCGGACGACCTCCACGTGGCCGTTCTGGCAGGCGATGTAAAGCGGGGAGGCGCCGTCCTGCTTGGCCTGGTCTACGTCTGCCTGATGCTCGACCAAGAGACCTGGGTTCCCCAGTGGCCCCTTATAGGGTTTAGGGTTTAGGGTTTAGGGTTTAGGGTTTAGAGTTAGTAGCCCCTTGGTTTTAATAAGGGAGACCAAAAAGAAAAAGGGCAAAAGGGTACTACTGGGAAGCTAGAGACGGACCACGGGTAAGAAACCCCCCTGGCAGGCAATGAAGAGCGGCGTCTCTTGACTCTGGAGGCTCTGGTTCACCTTCGCTTTTAGATCCACCAACTTCGCGACCACATCGAAATGTCCATTCTGGCAGGCAATGTAAAGCGGTGTGGCTCCACCCCGCTTTGCTAAGTTCAGGCCCACCTCCTCCTTCAGCGTCTCCCAAAGGACGTCAACCACTCCCAGGTGGCCGTTCTGTGCGGCCACCAGCAGCGGACTTGAGCAGTCCTCTGTGCAGCTGTACCTGGCCTTCATCTCCAACAATAGCTTCACAACATCGCGGTGGCCATTCTGAGAGGCGATGAAGAGCGGTGTGGCGTCCCCGACAGCGGGCTTATCCAGAAGATCGTGGATGGGTTTCTCCAAGTCTCCGAAAGAAGCAGCGTCCTCACATGCTGAAGCCGCTGCCTACTTCTTTTCGCCAAGTCAGCCCCTGGACCTAAAACCCCCAAACCCAGACACCCAGGCACCCAAACCCGGTACCCCTAAATCCATAAACCCGGATTCCTAGTAGACTGCACCATTTCAACAATCCCTTGCGCCAAAGAGGGGGACCTCCAGGAGAGACCCATACTCGGCATAGGCCTCCTGCAGCAGGTACTTCAGCACCTTCTCAAGCCACGAAAAACGGGGGGGGGGTTCGTTCATGTCTGCTTCACCAAGGCTAGGATGGCTGGCTGTATAAGCTGTGCCTATGTACTCACTAGAGCTAACACGAACAGGCATACTGTATGTTAGAACCACAAGCAGCACAGGACTCATTAGAAGATTAGGACAGTCAGCGAGATACAAATGAGGCGTTCTTGCACTGCAGGGTTGTGGGTTCCCGAGCAGCTTTTTGGGTTCAGGCCGCAGCCGACCAACGCTCCCCATAGCTTTGAAGCCTGGTAGTGGTCGTCGTAGTAGCAGTCGTCGTAGTAGTAGAAGTAGCAGCAG